CCTTTGCGATCGAAGACATTATTTCGGGAACTTTAGAAGGGCCACAGATTTTTGACAACGAGCTCCTTCCAGGTGAGCGTGCAACCGACTGTGATTACGCTAATGATATCGCCTTGCTGGGTGACGAGTCTCTTGGTTTACAAGTGATCCTTGACCCTACTGGTGGTTCAAGTGTCTAGGTATGGTATGTAATTTGCGCCACCTAAGTGTAAAGTACTGGTACAGGGTTGGAAATCGCCTGTTTTTCAACTCACCATCGAAGACATACAGCTCGAACATGTGGTTTTTGACCACTTGAAGCATTCGTGGCGTCGTCGCGACATTTCTGCCTCGTTAAAAACAAGGTTTACGATGCGTGTTCGCGCGGTATTTTTGCATGTATACGAATTCTGGTCGGTCCGTGTAGATAACATGCGAAGACTTTCTACATCCACAATGGCTGTTTAAGATGAATCACCCTTGTATGTCGCAAACATCGAGTGCGCAATGATGATGTCCAACGCCGCGCTTGGTTAAGACAGGCCTTCCCCTATGTGAGCTTGTTCTGCTACGGCAATTGCGCTTGATTGCTCAGGTTCTATACATGCCTAATGATCGCCTACCACGTCGCTCCTGATTTTCGTTTACAGTCGCATTGGAAGAGGCAGCACAGAGGCCGGAAGACAAAACATGAAAACGCTGACATCTTGCTTAGCCATCGCCGGCTCCGTACGTCTACCCGGTTGGGGACCCAAGCATGAAGATTGCCAGTGACTTACAACGCTCGAGGCAACAGTGCAGGGCCGGATGCATTAGAAGCGATGCGCACAAGTTTGCGCGAAACCCCCATTTAAAAAGCAATAACCCTGAAAAAAGAAGAAAAGTGCTAAGTGGCGTGTGAAAAAGACAAAAATTGATGTTCCTTGTCTCTCTTTATTACTGGTTCATTTTTCCAAGTGTTATTCATTCTTTTCTCTGATTCCTAACTTCATCGTTTTGAATGGCTAGATGTATATTCCCATGAACGGTTTACATACATATATATATATATATATATATATATATATATATATATATATATATATATATATAATGTTGCATTCGTGATGCTTCTTCACCGCAGTTGGGCCAAACCAACTTACACTTAAACTAGGTCCTTTTAAGCGAGATAAATTTCATTCCACTTTACTTGTTTTGTTCTGCCTACATGACTAATGTTCTATTAACTGGCCACGTTGCTTACGCAAATTGCGCTTATCTTCGGGAATTTTGTTGCATTTGTAGCATTTGTAAGTAACTTGTGGACGGATTCGTGGCTAACCAACTTACTTCATGTGGTAATTTAGCGAAGAGTTATGCCACCGTATCTGTATGCATTATTCAATTTATTTTATTTCATCTTGTCTTTTAAAGTGAATGTCTGTTGTTTGATATCCCCGGTGTGGCTGAGCTTGATGTGTATGTTGACAAGGTGTCTACCTGTCTATTACCCACTACCTCATCCATACTGTCTCTGGGAGATAGTTGGTCGTTGCTGGAGGGGACGGGGTGCACGGTCGTTGTGGCCGTGCTAGACTCGAAGAACGGTTCCATGCAGTCAGTGTGGAACGGACTACGGTCCAGCCACCGCCTTGTGTGCGCTTGATTCCCCAAATACGGTGTGCTTGTGTTTGCCTGTGAAGGAGTGTGGGTGGGCTCCGTTGATGAAACGTGGTTCCCATCCACATGCCTCCCGGTCTTATTCCTTCGGGTTTACACTGGATATGGGGTGTGTGGTTGGAGCTGTAGGTGGTGCAGCGCAAGGCGCCTATGGTTCCTCTTGGCGCAGGCGTCCTGTGGCTGGCCACACTGACAGGCAAATCCGATACCGGATGCCGCCAACCATATACCTGCGCGAGTACACGCATTTTGGAGGCATTGGATATTTTGGGTTCATTTCTTTGCTAGTCGCTCCATCCCCTAAATTTGTGGAAGCACGCGGTTCGGTATAACTTGAGGCTGTCATTCAGTTCCAATTTGTTCCTCTCTAATACCGCTGTTTGTGACTAGCAGGATCAGCAAGATTGTACGCATCTTATATACCATTAACTTATACTGATCCCTTGAAGTCTTTAGCGACGACGTTGTGGCTGATAGGTGGGTGGCAACCAAACTTTCGGTTTCGCTCGTCCGCTAAATCCAGATAGACGGAAACGCATGTTTACGATTCAGATGTTGCCCGACTTTTGTCACGATGCACAACTTGTACCAAAGGCGTCACAGCGTCTATTTGGGTCATCATTTGCAACTGAAAAATGGGCAGTTATTGTTTAGCCCATGTTCCCTTTGTCACCTGGCCGCTCCAATACTTTATATCCTTAACTCTTACAGTAGTCAGATATTGCTCTAGATCTTGTTTTGAACCGGATGCCAGAATGTCACTCCATCGATTGTGCGAAACATGGGGCGTCATACAGCTACCATACAGGAAGATAGCATGCCGAAATCGTTGGCTGAAACCTGTGTTGGTAGCATTGATCACGGTTCCACAGCACTGTTGGGCTGGATGAGGAACAAACCGGCCTGATTGATAACACAGAGTAGAACTTTATACTATCCGAATTACACATCACCACTTCGAAGCAACGCACACTAATGGAGTTCGTCAACATCCGTATATCAGCAGGCGTACAGGGGATAACGAACCGAAACTAGGAATACATACCGAAACCGATGAAAGACAAATCCAGAGGTGCTTTAAATTTTAACTGAATAAGTACATAAGTAACCGTACTATTCCTCGGTTTAATGAAAGGCTGTCCCAAGAAAGGACAGCGAGAATACGTCGGCATACAAAGGGTTTGGCTACAGCCTCATTTATGTGACGCTCCGTCAACCACCAGCAGGAAAGTTTCCTGCAGTAATCTCCATGGTAACCAGGTGCACATAACATACCGATTTTCGCTTTCAGTCTCAAAATCACCTCACCAAAGGCTAACGGAAGTCAGTAGACTGGTGCGAATCACACGATGCCTGCACATTTATATGCGCCGTGGATGGGTTACACCAAAGGCTCGGCTCATGCGTCCGGAGAGCTGAGGCGGCAGCCGAGTCGGATTCACTACTGTTCTGGATCGACTTGCATAGCAGCACGTATATCAATTATGCATACCTTCGTGACGCATGTGTCAGTAGCACACAATGTAATAGATGGGCTATAGTCCGTCCCATGGTGAAGCCAACTTTTAAAGCTTACAATATTACGCAATAGTGTACCCAGTCTTTCAGAGTGGTGATTGGATGCATTAATGTGGTTGGTGGCGTCGGAGAAGTGGGCACCTTCTTAAGCTTCGCCTGAAGCGCAGCAACACCTGACACATCACTCAGCGATGGATGTCGGGCGGTCGACACAACGCATGCAATTGTACATGGATAGGCGGACGACAGTGATACGGCGTCATGTGTGACATGTGCACCGTGGTGTCGTGTAGTTAAGGACATCAAGTGGAAGCTGACAGCGAGCACTAATCAAGGAAACCGTGACTAGCGACCGTGTCACCACTTGAATCTTCAGATTCCAGTATTTGCCCTCGTGCTACTAATAAATAAATAGGTACATAAGTGATTTCTTCTCGGAGAAGGCTGAACCCCACTTTCCGATGGTAGGTAAAGGAAGAAACGTATTTCTCAGTTTTCGCTTTCGGTTGTTGGGCTCCACTCTTGCATTACGTAACAAGCGTTCGTAAAATAGCTTAAACTCTCAGCCGTTTCCCATACCCGACTTCCTAAGCACCAGTTGAAACCTGTGTCAGGATGTCGGAATGTCGCACACCTTCCGCATATCTTTTAGCATTCGGGTAGCAGTGTACATACTGGAGTCACTAAATCACTCGGAACTAGCAAAAATAGTTCAACCACCATTGTTATGGCTACTGTAAATGTTACTTGAAAATTTGCAAATGGTAAGTGTCACATTCCCGCAAGGTGAGTTCAAGATTACTTCAAAATCGCATAACTGATATTTGAGCATAGGCTTTTTCCAATCAGGCTGTAAACGGACAATCTTTGCTGTCAATGGAGGGTAGCGAAAGCTGGGATTTTGAGTAAATTTTTGACGTAGGTTCTTCACAAGGGGGCTCAGCCAGGCGCTGCACATAAGGAAAACCACTGGGCTTATCCATTCGGCATTCTTCAAAATTACGCATCCTTTCTGATCCCTGTGTGGCTAGAACCCGCGGTTTTGCTCTTACGAGTCCGTGATTACGACGGGGTGAGCCGCAGTCGACATGACTCAGCGACTATAGTTAAGGAACAGCGCTGCCATACGCGTCTCCAACATGCAGAGAACATGGTTGGGACGCTGAGCAGTATACTCCCTCGTCGTGCGATAGCACTATCAGTTAGTTCGAGCGATTACTGATGTTTGGAGGGCAGTGCTAGGTGCGACCTGGGGTAAACCTGCTATCGATATTCGTCACAGACACATCCGGACAGACGAAATGCGCACTGCTGACAATACCCGATAGAATGAAACAGCAATGCAATTGTTTTTCGTATATATGCAGTCGCTGCTTGAGTTGTGGCTGTGACGCGTCTCCAATGCAAATTTGCTCCGATCTATTGATTTTGCAAACTGACCACTAGCAATTCGCTCACTTGAGTAAATGGGGGCTGGCGTTATGTCACACAAGTGCAACACTTGGGCTTGCCTAGTTAGGCATCTTCATTTTTTATCTAGGCCGATGACCTAATCACTCGCCAAGCGCAAGTCTAGCCGGAAGGGATGAAACAGCTATTTGCGTGCCCTTGTCGGCACGTGACTGCATGTATGCTTGCGTGCACGCCTCAGCTACGCTCGCTTGCCACCCCAACCGAAGTTGTTGCGTAATTGTTAATGCGGTTGTTCGGTCACACGTTTGTTGATGATGGTTGTATGGTGCACAGCTGCAAGATACCGCGAGATTTTCCCACTCACTTCAGAGTCAGGAGGGGTCAAATCACTTTCGTGCTAGTCTGGTGAGCGTCGTTGAGAATCAAGACATTCAGGTTACCGCGATCTCGGACGCTATGCAGTACGAGATGGGTTCACGACGTTGCAAACGATGGTGCAATTTATCAACCAACAATGCAGACCATCCCGAGAGCGGAAATAAATCGGCAGCTGCCAACAACTTAATGATCTCCGTCACCTCTGCCCCTGTAGACCAACGTGAAGACGCAAGGTTACATGCCTATCGCCTCACTTTCAACCGGTGATTGCACACAAAATAAAGTTTGACATTGTAAACATTCGCGAAACCTAGTAGAGACGGCTATAAACACTGGTAGCGCGAGGTGGAATTGTGAGCTCACTGAACGTAAATGGCTGATAACGAGGGATATAACTGGTGTCCTGCCTTACAGATCACACCCCGTTTCCTCTATGTTTGGGCTGACTGGCGGGTACCTCGGTTTCTGACCGATGTACTTACGTCTGGTTAGTGTGGCGATAGATAGGTGGGTAAGTATAGAATCAAGCAACTGTTTGGGACCGGGTGAACGCTTGCTTAATAACCGTCCGTACGCAGCAGCGGGAATTGTTATGATCCGCGTTGTTTAACTGCCTAAATTTGCTGCGTAAACGTGGGATAAGTGCTGTTACTAATGTACAATATCTCACGAGAAAACAACGATCGCGGCGCACATTAAATGGGACTTTTACCACCATAATTTATCTGGTAGTTACACTACACAGTCTCTTCCTAGTAAGTAATATGGAATAAATTTCCGAAGTGGCGTACACCAATATTCAACGCTTAACCGAAGTGCACCCAACCACTTAACAGTGTCAAGCAGACATGTATTCAAACGTGGTATGCCCACTCTCTGGCACTACGACAGCCATGTACTGTGCGTTTTACGGCTTGGTAACCAACATGCGCACCGCGAGGTGTGCGGTCATCCTCCCCGAGTCGTGTTAGTGCACATGTCATCCATTGATGTTCATTGCTGGATTAATCCATCACAGTAACTATGCCCACAGATGGATCGCAGATGACTTACATTGAACCACCAACAGCTGTTCACAACCAGTGCAAATGCTAATTAGCAAGATTTGAAAGCGTGCGAATGGTGAGATGTCTGATTTCTGGTCAATCCACACTCCATCGAGTAAAGGACAAGGAGCAAGTGTGACTTGCGCATGCATGTGGCAGAGCCATTACCCATCGTATGCCGGAACCGGCCCTTGCGCTGAACCGTGTCACATAGACTGTGTAGCCCTTTCCTTCAGTGAGGATCATCAGTGTTCCTAGTAGTAGGGACATATAAATGATATGTGTTACATTCATCACAGGTAGACTAAATAAGACAGCTTCTGCACATCCAAGAAACCACTGGATGGCCGTTTCATTCTTCCAGGAGTGATCAATAGTGCGCACTATCTGATCCCTGTGGGGATAGAAGCAGCGACCCAACTTTCACCAGTCCGCGGTTATAACCACTGGACTACAGTAACGTCAACGACCGACATAACTAGGCTTTGAAATGTGATATAACGCGACTCGGTATTGTGAGCGGTAGCACTGTGTGGACATCCGACCCACCAGCGATAGAATCAGGCGTAAGGTGTCCTGATATGCCGAGGGAGAGTGGACGGCAATTTTCAAAGACGCATGCCCAATGCATCTGTACAGTCTAAATACAGCGATCGCGTGACATGTGCCTCACTAACCGTTGTGTCGGGTTGATTCGACAATGATGCTGGTTGCTGTGTCATCAACTGCACTGACAGCTGCCATATCGGCTTATTCGTTGGCCTTTCGACCTAAATCCTTCATGATTACATTGATGGCCAGTAAATCCTGTTTACGCAAACCACACTAGGTCACATGTAGGATGGCAACACTTGAATGATAAAAACGCTTGTCAGTCTGGCGTTTTCACTCCCACCGTGAAAGTCCTTTATCTAGTGCAACAGTACGGTAACCCGATGTGATGGAGCCATCAGTAACGATTCTCCGACACTGTCTATGGTTATCCGAAATCAACATTCATTGATAAAGAGTACCACGAGCATGTCCTGATCCTGTATTATCGGTCTGCATACCAGTCCTGTTCTCGACACTAAGCTGACCGTACAGAAACGGTTCGTGTTCTGGTTTATAAATTCGGTGTTTACAACGCGCCTCTTTGAGGTGGATCTTGTTGTCGAGACATCATGGTTACACTAAACGGATGCTTTTTCTCGACCACTAGTTTTGCCATACAATTTAAACAATATTGATGACAATGTTATGAGCTGTCAATTATTTCTGTTCCTCCCCAGTAAAACCGTTATTAAAACCTCGGCTACTGGTATCGCGTGGAAATTGCGTCACCCTGATAATCACCTTCTTTTACTGATTCTCGGGATTCGGAGTACACGTCGTGTGTCCTGGATTGTGACACACAATCTTCAATGTGGCCACGCTTAAACGTGGAGCCAGTCTGGGCCATTCCGATCACTGGGACCATATCCGAAGTGGAGGGTTTTGGTGTGCCTCTCTCCCATCCCGGCACTTCACGACCGGCGGTTTCGTCCTAGTTTGGACTCATCAGAAAAAGATGGCTGAGCTGGAAGTGGAACTCGGCTATCACCATGAACACTAGTCCATTGAGCTCAGCGAGCAGTGCTTGACACAGAGGTTGGAAGTTGATTATCGGATTTTGAGTACTGATCATGGGTCTTGTATTGGGACGCTCAATCTCAGTTGTGGCTTCGTTTGACTCTGGAGCTAGCCTGTACCGTTCCGATCATTGGGACCGTATCCGAAGTGTAGGGTTTCGGTGTGGCTCTCTCCCATCCCTGCACTGACTGTAGGGAGCAACACCGAAACCATCTACCTTCGTTAACCTTCATTGTATGGCAGTTACGCCATCCTCCGATCACAAAGCTAACCGTGATATAAATGCCAAGAGGTAGGGATCTTGTATCCCCTTCGGCCAAGGCTGTATAAGCGCTTGCGCGGGTGACTGCTACCCATTTCCCCTCGGAGTCGCGGGTAGTTGTGCGGGATCCGTGTTCGTCTCGATACAGTGCGATAGAAAGGGTTGGCGAACAAGTCTCATTAGGCGTCTCAATCCGAATTAAATAAGCTACTCTTCCACGCGCGGTGCAATTCGCAAGAGCCAAACCTTTCGCTTCGACTAGGAAACCGAGCTACCAGCAGCTAGTGACGAAGAAACCCAATGCTCATGACCTGGAAGAATGGCAGTACATAAGTGAAGCTGTTTGTGCTGGTGGCGTCACACGTCAGTCGACTACACGGTTGCCCGTGTCGTCTCACTACAAAGGCCCTCTTGGAAGAATTTAACTACCACGCACCGGAACAGCACGGCTTCCGACGAAATGCATCGTGCGGTACAAATGTGGTACTAGCACAATCCAGCTGGATAGAAGCAGTAGACATTTTCATAAGCGTTGTTGTAGTTTTTCTCGACCTTTCAAAGTCAATCGACTGGTTAGACCATGATATTCTGCTGTTCAAACTCTAGACATTTGGTATGAGTAATCCTCTCCTTGCATGGATCAGAAGCTTTCTATTATACCGGAGTTTGGAGGTACGAGTGTGTGCATCACTGTCAGATCCCAACAAGTAAAATATGGAGTACCACAGGGAGCAGTACCTAGACCATGGTTATTTTTGACGTATACTAACGATAGCACACGCTTCATAAACGCGAACTGTCTGCAATATGACGATAATATCAAGGGGTTGAGGGCCATCAATACACCAGATGATATCACAGTACTACAAGTCGATCTGGATAGGGTACATACGTGGTCAATCCAGGATCTACTTCGGTTCAATGTGGATAAATGTACAGTGCCGAAGTTACGGCACTAGCTGATGTGCTACTATAAACTGGGCAATCAGGAGCTTCAAACGTCTCCCAGTGAAAACGATCTGGGCCTTTCCGTGCAGACTGACCTTGGAAATTCGATTTAAGCTGAGCAAGCATCAAGAAGAGGCTACCAACAAGTGAACCTTCTGACGTGTGCATTCAGATGATTCGATCTTTCGATTTTTTAACAGTTTTTAAGCTCATACATACGTCTACATGTGGAATACGCAAAACAGATTTGACAGCCATGGCTAAGGAAAGATCTCACCGCCTCTGAGGTACCCCAACGCTGGGCAACTTGGAATGTCAAAGGCTTGTATCATTTGCGGTAGGAACAGAGGCTTCGAGTGTTCGGAGTCTTCAGCGGACAATACTGGTCATTGCGTCGGGACCTTATTTCGACTTATCAGATTTTGAGAGATCCCAACCACAGGTGCCGTTACTTGTTAAAGCTCATTCCCAACAACAATCTGAGAAGACACCATCACAAGTTGACAGAGCAGTACAGTGGCTTGGAGTGCCACCGGAATTGCTTTTTCGTTTGCTTTTGCCAAGCTTAGAATGCCCTACCTGAATCGGCCAACTGTGCTCCAACGATGGTAGAGTTCAAAACCCGAGTTGACGGTGCACTCATTTCGCTGCACCATCGCGCGTAAGTGATTGCCCATGGCCCAACACAGGTGTCTGTTAAATATTTCACTGACGGTAAACTCCCAGCATAAATTCCGCTTTTCCCCCTCCTGTATATGTTCACAAAGAGGCGTCGCAAATTTTACCAATACCCTATTTGTCATCAATACTTATGAATCTACAGAAGATTTGCATTTTCTAATACATGTGCCGCATGCTGACAAATTTTCTATACTTTCGCAATATTCGTCATGATCATCTTACAGGACCTGCCGAGTTTTCACGTTTTTACCCAGATAAAAGCATTGTTCTTTTGTAAGTGTAGGCAATTGTATTATTACAATACTCATGTACAAAATTCACAACCACACTTTTCGTGTTTCACTTGCGGCAAATTATTGGTGACACTATGAAAATTCAGCCCATCGGCAAGTTCCCTCTTTATGGAGATAACTGTCAAGTCCGTGCGCCTTGTCTGTTTCATTGCTAATCGAATGTAGTTCATTAAAAACTTCGTGAATGAGCAGTCACAGATGGTAATGCTAATAGCTACTACTAATAAAGATGCGCAGCAAGTTCCCAATATTCCGTGCCGATTTCCCAAGGTGATCCTGCTGTCGGAAGCCCGAAACTAGCTTCCACTGATTTTGTCGTTTTCCGTGTCTTTTACCAATTACTGTAATCTCCTTTCGGCAAAGTATGCCGCTATTTATAAGCTTCCACAACTTCGATGACCGGACAACCATAGTTATCTTTAAACAGATTTGACGATGGAAGGAAGCATATTCGCTGAAAGCTCTGACCTAATTCATGGCAGAGAGCGTTACCGTTTCAACAGCATCAGATCCCACAAATGCATCAAACAATTGTTCCCCATGCATTCGCTTCTTTTCGCGCATTCAGCGACTCTTGCTCATCCCCATTTTTGTACAGCGTTTTTTATTCATCCAGTACAATGTCCACCATCTTCTATCCATTCCGAAGATGACAAACTCCAAACTCCGTGAGCCTGACAGAACTTTACTGTAGACTCAGCATTTTGCTTTAAGGCATTTCTGTGCATCATTGGTTTCTGTGAGTACAGACCATCAAAGCCCCACAGAAGAAATAAACAGAGACCACGGTACCGAGATGAGAATTAAAGACACATCTGACCTTGTGGTTGCGTGTTCTCCTTCTTCCAGAGTAGTGACGATTTTCGAGTATTTCTTCACCACAATATTTACGGTGACTGCTGGACTACTCCATCTAGTTTCCACAGCCCGCCTGGTACTTAGACCGGTCACTTGAATGTTGACGTTCCAGCAATCCGTAGATGTATACAAGAACGAGAATAACCATACCGTTGTACCCACAAATGTAACGGAATGAACCGTCGCATGGGGTGCACGTACACAAGCCAGATTCAAGGAATGGTTTGCACATCGCACAAATTGAGCTCTTGAATTGATTTCGCAGTTTCGTCTTTGGACGCACCATCGGTAGCCTGCCATAACAGCGGCATTGTCAAATGCCTGGCCACGGCATCCATCAATCGGAATTCCATCCCTATCCAGTTCCTTCAAAATCAGTATAGACATTTCCTCTGCGAGTTTGCTGTTGGTCTCATTGAAAAGGAGAAACGACTCCTCAAACTTCATTTTCTTTTTTTCGTAATGCACCACCTCACCCATCTGATTTTATGAGATACATCGGCATTGTTATCAGAAAATAAACAAACTACGCTTTCCTTGACATGACCTGTGATTTTCTTTCTCATCTGCTTTGCCAAGTTGTTTATAAATTCATTTCGAACTTCTGGAGACAAATAAATGGCGCTGTTTTGATTGTCCGGTTTCTTTTCCACCTGAACTGTCTCACCAAACTGTCGCGAAGAAATGGGTCTTACTTGGCCAACATATGTGCCATTTTTAAAAAAGTCTCTATTTTCGCGGTCTACTTTATCATCCTGGATGTCTTCTCGGTGACTACGAAGTGCTATGTTCTACTTGGCGTGTAACCTGACGATACCCAGTAATTTAGCTTGAACTTTGAGCTACTTCGTTGTTTCCATTCCCATAAGTACTTGCTGCAGTTTGTTAATTGCCTGTCATTCAGCTAGCCGGATCCCTAGCTGTTTCCATTTGAGGAATGCCTGAGCTTGCTATTTACTAGATTTGATGTTTTTATCTGTATATAAGTGTAGAAGCCTAAAGAGGAATTAACGAAAACAAATGTTCCTTTACACTGAGTTCTGCTCTTACTGGATTTGTGTTTATGTACTTTTGGATTTAATCTCCACTATCTCCTGAAACACATCATCAGTCAAAAAACGAGATTGTCCTGTTGAAGACATTCTGCAGCGGAGGTAAAACATGGTTCCTTTGGAAGCAGAGTCCACTATCCATGTCCGAAATCTTTGCGTTCCGATTCCCAAATCACGCGTTTACCAGTTCGTTGTTAGCTACCTAACTTTACCTTTTTTATTCGCTCCAGATCGCGCTACCTCTTCGAATTCACGATCGAGATGCTGGATAGCAATAGGTCCCAGCCGGATGTAGCCGCTGTACAACGCGTCATTGATGACTACATTATGTTCACAGTTAACTGCGATGCGGAATGATGTGTAGCTGGACAACTGTGTGCAAATGCGGAAAGGAACAGATGACAAGCGGGGTATGACAAGTGGCACAAATGCGATTTTGCTTACGCAGAGTAATACAATCATATTCAACTATCGGCTTATTTGGTAAGTTTGGCGTTTTACACTTGGTGTCGATCACTCATCTTTACTAAAATGCCATCCGCTTGCTACACCTCTGCCCAGATCACTGGGTGCTAGTGTGGGGATTGAAGGTAGATACTACTGCGCCGGGTATAAGTAGTGTGGTGGTGCAAGATGACGCACCAACAGCGAACCCTGCCGACTTCCCCAAAGTTAAAGATGACATCAGGATTACAGTTACATGCGCACGAGGAGTGAACATAGAGGCAAGCACTAGTTGGGGAACACTCCATGGAGATCACGCAGATGAGCGGACGCCTCCAAGGTATGAACGAACACACCTAGTGTAAGCCACTTTAGCGATAAACGATTGCCGCCTGCCCCTTAGGTTCTAACTGGTACAGTATGACGATTGATGCGCTAAAATAATGCGCAGAAGACTTTGCAGTTACCGTCTTTTTCGTTATTATTAACTGTCAATATTGTTCACTCGTGACGCACATACAATAGAAAAATACACTCACCTTTTCAACCTTTCCTCTGCTAAATATCTGTCAACTTCTTCATCTGCAGTGTCGGAGTTTAATAGTTGGCGATAGTGCCATCAAGCAAGCCCGGATCGCTCTCGTCATCATTTGAGTCAGTCACGTTGCTGTTGCTTCGCTGTTCATTGATGATTCGAGCCTTCAAGAAAGCTCGGACGACAGCTGCAAAGTGAACGTCACAGCCTCAGCTTGATTGATAAATCGCAGCCAAGCTTGCATAGACGCGCATCAAGCAGCGCTTCACCTCAGAGCACGTGATAGCTCCATACTACCATTCCGTCCGGCCCTATTGGAGGAGACTTGAATAGGTAAGTCACTGGACTTTAACGACCTTTGTTACCCCAGAATTCACGCTGGGCTATAACAAATACTAGATAGCATTTATCTTCCCATTTAAAAGATAGATGACTGCCATTAACATTCGTGCAATGAACAAGAAGTGCGGAAAACCGAATAATCACAGTAAGCAATAACGTTGCGGGCATCAGTGCCGAGGAACCTGTCCCCTGTTGCACATATTCCGTGCCGCCTGGGATACAAGAGTAGGTAAATGAGTCAAAAAGACTAATGCCAGAGTTTAGTTAGTGTTGTCGACCTTATGTCTCTACTGTCAGCCAAAATAATGACGTTGGAGAAACAGTTAGCCGAACAAAATAAGCAACTAAAGTTGTTTGACTCATTTTGGGATATGCTTATGTCAGTTTCGTACATAATGCAGGCCCCGGCTAATCCAGCGCAAAAGCACAAAATTTGAGCATTAAACTTCCTAAGTGTAGTCGCCTCTGAGGTTACCCAAAGCTGCAGAAGGGGCAAAGACGCCATCACCCTCAACATAGTTGACAATATCGCGATTGACAACATTAGGCATACTGTTTCGACAGCGCGCAACGTTGCTGAGACCGATATTAGTTGTAGAAGACTAAGGAAAACATCCTTAGGTTTTCCTTGTTCAACTCTGTTCAGCTTTTGTAGCGGAAGTTTCGCAAGAGCATTTATCCAAAGCCAAAATATTTTAAGATCTGTTCCGAAATGTTGCAGTTATTCTATTCGAACACAGATCACCCTTGAAATATGAACTTCAGCGCAAGCGTGCAACTAATGTCTAGCCTGAGCCGAAGCAGAGTCATGCTGGAGTGCCAAAAGGAGGTCATTCAACAGTGTTTGGTTCTCCCCCTCTAAAAACGCAGATAATGTTGGTCAGGCCACTCTCCACACAAGCGGTGCTAACCTTGGCGACAGCGTAGCGGAAATTGTGATGCGTACGCCTCCACACTACGTCAGCCTTGTGGACATGGGACATAGTGTGGCTTCACTCGATGCACCACGTTCTGACAAACCAGTAGGGGTTGGTATCAATCCCCACACCGCGACTGAAACAGATACAGGTCCAAAAATATCCTATGAGACTATCGATAACTCCAGGAAAGGTGCATTACGGCCCATTGACCTTATGACTACACATAGCAGCAGTGGTCTTGGCCTACGCCCTAAGCGTTTTAGATAGAACAAGGGTCTTCATGCTGGAAAAGTGACTCCCGGTGTCCCATTGACAGTCGTGAATAATAATGCTACTACACAGTGTGGCAAGCCACACTTCCCCATTGTTCCGGCGATGTGCCAACGCTGTTCTCCTGGCAGGCTTGTACATGGCTTGGCTGAAACAGACCACTTATTTATGCCCCCCTTCGTAGTCTGTTCCGCCTCCTCCTCTCATAGTGCCTTTTGCGAGCCTTTCGGCAATAACACCCTATCCACTTGAACTCAAACGCCCCAAATTACCACAGCATTGTTTTTACATTCCCCCAACCCCTACTCCTGATAGGACTGGCGAATCACACGGTACGGGATTTGGCGCGGAAGGCTCTAGAACTAATGTGATTGCCAAGAGTAAATACTGGGTGGAATGATGAACATCGCCAAGACTTTTTAAGACTGATGATACTTAATATCGTTCCTCTGTTGCATAAGCTTCATTTACTCCGCACCTTCATACGTCTGAATGAACCTGATATGATTTTACTCATTGGAACCCTGGTGTCATGAATTCTATGCCCAGCCAGCTGCTTTCTATCGAAGGTTACAAGTTTATTAAAAGTGATCGAAAGCAAAGCAGAGGAGGTGGTTGCATAATTTACTACTCACGAAACCTCCATTGTCTCTGAATTCACCCTTGCACTTAGTATGCCTCACTATTGATTCCTTATTTTTAACCTCCAACACTATCTCATCTAGTATTTCCTAATTAAATCCCCACAAACCCTATATCCAACACTGAACTCCACCTAACCAAAATTACCACTACTACACAAATCCCCACACCACCTCCCCATCCACCCCCACCCACCCCTAACCACCACCACCACCACCACCCCCCCCACCACCACCACCACCACCCCCCCCCCCCCCCCCCCCCCCCCCCCCCCCCCCCCCCCCCCCCCCCCCCCCCCCCCCCCCCACCCCCCCCCCCCCCCCCCCCCCCCCCCCCCCCCCCCCCCCCCCCCCCCCCCCCCCCCCCCCCCCCCCCCCCACCCCCCCCCCCCCCCCCCCCCCCCCCCCCCCCCCCCCCCCCCCCCCCCCCCCCCCCCCCCCCCCCCCCCCCCCCCCCCCCCCCCCCCCCCCCCCCCCCCCCCCCCCCCCCCCCCCCCCCCCCCCCCCCCCCCCCCCCCCCCCCCCCCCCCCCCCCCCCCCCCCCCCCCCCCCCCCCCCCCCCCCCCCCCCCCCCCCCCCCCCCCCCACCCCCCCCCCCCCCCCCCCCCCCCCCCCCCCCCCCCCCCCCCCCCCCCCCCCCCCCCCCCCCCCCCCCCCAAATACACCCGCTCACCACAACCTACCTTTTCTTTCCAAGATATAGAATACCCCCCTCCCCCCAACTCACTCAAAATTCCTACCCCCCCTCTAAATACCCACACTCATCAACCTTTCCCCTATTACCCTAAAGAACCCCCCCCACGATTAAAAAGATCCCCTAATAAATCTACCCCACCCCACCCCCCCCCCGCACACCCCCCACCACGCCCACCCCTCCCGCCCCCCCCCCCCCCCACAATATACATGTCAGTCTGCCCTCCCACAAAATATCCTCTTACAACACAAAATCTAGTCTTGTTACATGTACTCCAACGTATCTCGCCACCCACTCTATTGTATATCGCCCCCACAAATCCACATGTCACTCCCATCCAAATGTTGATAAACCCAAATTGCTAGTGTGTGCAAACCACCTCTATCAAATATTACCCACAAATTTTCCCCAAACATAACAAACGTACATGAACTGTGAATACTTATAGTCCTACCATACACTCCACAATACAATGATCCTATAATTATATACAATATAAGAGAATATGTCCAAGATACATATTCTCAGCCATATCCACATATAACACCCCGATCCACAGATGTACAATGTACCGTGATCGCCCCTGTTTCTCCACTCCTTTGCCTCAACCTTCTCGCCGTACAACCACTCAGTCCAGACACCCATCATAGACACCCACATCTAGTCCACACTAATCTAGTCTCGTGTGTCCATCCTATCCACGACCCGATGTCCAACCCACAGTCTTCCTCGTACCTCATCTGTACCTGCATAGCCCTATATACACATAACCACTTACCCACCAATTTCTCCTGTACATCTGAATTTTAATCCTGTGACTCTGAACAACCCTCCTGTTACCCCATAATGCCCATCAAATCTCGTTCTCCCTTCAACAGTCCTCCATGTCTCTTATCCGTAGCATGTCACACGCTATCCTCACTATCACAGAGCAACTATGTCCCACATATCCCAACACCACCTCCTCTTGTCTTGAGACTCCATGTCCTTCTATTCGTGAAATTCCATTGTCTAGACGTGTCCAGATTCACATAGATGATATATGCTACTCTAAAACACCACCAAAGTGCAAAATCTCAACAACACAACCTCCAACAACAGTGTTCACGTCTAAATCACCATACTCACCAAAAAAAAACTCTACACTAAATACAACATATCATCACATACACACATTGATACATTCACCCCCTAAATGACTCCTCAAAGTGTATACATGATACTGTACAAGACTACATGTTACATCTAAAACCATACAACTACCAAACACCCTACCATTCCCCTCATTCACACAACATCACAATACCAACTCTTTGTCATAATAAAAACCCACAAACAAAAAAATCTACGCACAACATAAAACACAACACAACAGATTATCCAATACACCCACCTATTCAACATCCACCTTAATAACTCTCCAAACTACCATTACTGTAACAAAATGTGTGCACCTTTCACAGTATAGACTCACCAAAATACATACTATTCCAGACATCACTCACATTCACCTGTTCCTATTATACAATACACGAACATACACACATACAAATTTGATAATCAACTCACCAGTAAAACATCTTCTGCCCAACGACCAGTGTGCACACACCAACACTCCATTCAAAAACACTCTCTACCTCTAGCTCACTATAATCCAAGATCCTAAGACAATCACATCTCCATACTCACCCTATACCCACCTCAAGACATCATCAACATCGACATAAATATTGTACACTCACCGTCTATGCAAAATTATCACTGTGTACGTTTCCACTGTGTGTTGTCACCCCTCAAATTAATCAACCCCCACCCTCCATTAATCCACACACACAACCTACATATACCTTTAACACCCACCCCTCAAACAATAAATTAGAACAACTCTCTACCCCAACAAATTCTTAATCCTTAATATTACACTCCATTCAACCATATCACACAAACACCAACTAGTCAGTCCTACCCCAAATTGTCTAGTCACCCTTACTTCTACAAAATTACCTAACACATCCCACCATAATCACTGTTCATACCCTATAAACATAGAACTACAATCTCATTCCCAGATCAACAAATAAATATCAGTTCACTGTGATCACATCATGTGCCACTGTGAAAAGTCCCCGCAATCACCCCTTTAACCTCATTCCTCTATCCCATATCCACACCCCAAACACCGCATGCTGTGCTCTGTAATCCACCTCCTGTAATGTATAATGTTTTCACGTAAAAATTGTCACATATACTATAATTGTAAACCATTAATACATGAGTACTTAACATCACCATCAGTCTAGTCCAAATAAGACATTCAACAAAGTCACGGTGTCTACCCAAAACCCAATCTCTCTATATCCCTAACAATAAATATATCTTACCAACTTAGACTCTATATACGTCAAGTAACAACATCCTCTCTACCGAGACACAGTCCAATACCCTCAACCACCCATAACCAACACGATGTGCCCCCTTGCCACTCTATATATAGTCCTTACTAGTTCCACCAAATCACCCATCCACACCAATCCCTTCACCCATCAACCGTATCCCCTATCGCCAATAACCCCCAACCTCATCAACCACTTTGCCAGTTAAGATCAATGATATAACCATGTCGTAGAGAAATAATGATAATGTGCACATAAAACCCATGACAGTAAACACAAAACCATTACATCTAGTGCAAATTTGTCCTAAAACAATTCCCTATGTTTGTGCTGCACTTCAATGCGTAATAATCATTCAATGTGTAAATATAATTTAGACACAATACTAAACATAAGTGTTACTCTACATATTACAATATAACATAGAACTCAAATCCAAAATCCTCCTGAACATACCATTCATAATGTTGTATCATATTCCTCACAATACTAGTGTGTTCCACCTATCTAATACACAAATGACATTATCAATTATACCATCCCACACCAAAACATCGTCCTTGTCCACTGTAACCACCCTACAAATTCTCAAACAAACATCCTGCGCAACAAACACACTAGTCATAACATAACCACAATTCAACTAATAACATATCTCTACCATCGTTCATATCCCATCTATACCATTTCACTATAACCCCCTCCATGTAACGCAATCTTAAATCTCATTTCTAATACACAGTCACCTTGTGCATATCATGTCTCATATCAACTGTCATCACCCACATATGTCTGTGACCATTCATCGCAGTGATAAGAATGTAAACAACTAAATATACGTCATGTACCCTCACCTTGTACCCCAATCAAGTCCACTCAGGTGTGTCACCAGATGCCCACTCTAGACCCACAAGTTGTAGTGTACCCTAAGACACTATTCGTGCAAGCATTGTAATACCTGTGCCCCTAAGAATGTTACACATCCACTACCACCAATGTGTGCCCCAGTGTCCATTACCAAATACTGTGTCCTCAATTCACCTTACTCTCATAGTACAAAATGTGTCTTTAAAAAAAATCCGATAAACAAAAATCAGAAATATACAAAACAACTACAACATGTCATGTCTAAATGACTAGCATATTGTGTACACAATCACATATGCAAAATCATCAAAATCCATACCCTTCATAATACAACTCACTCATCTCAATGTATAAAATCACCAACATCACATACAAGTCCTAACTAATTAAGGATCTACACTTGCACTAAGTGCCACACCTGTACGTCTAATTAAACTATCACCCCCAGTATTCTTTCCCAACCGAGACCATCCTCACTATCATATTAATCTGTAGACATAAATATTCTAAATAGAATTACAGAACTGAATCTACGCCTCCAATTAAAAAAATAAAATCACACTATCTAACACAACAATCACAACATTGTACTCTCTACATTGATACTTAGTCGCACACATTCTATACCCTGTGATGTCCCACCAGTTCGCCGCACTATTCCACTACCCTTAAAGTGTACCCAAAACTGTATGTCACCCTTCCCTTACTCTGTATGTACTACGCCTTACGTCACGACCACTTATCACTCACTCAAAAACCCTACACCCAGCTCAATACTAAGTTGTTAATAATACCCTCAGATAGCTGTATATAAAAATACCTGTGACTAGTGTTCAAGTCCACTTCAAACACATAGAAGAATATTTATGAGACTGTGAACGTGTTGTGCCATCCACCTCTCTTATACAATAGTATATCATATATGTAATAAACCCAATCTGTTTACCAGAGTACACTAGTAGACTTCAAGAGTACCTAGACCCTAGACTACCTATTCAGTGAACACATCACTAAATCACTAATCTACCCATTGACTACTACACATTACTTCATGATATTGCGTCAATTACTGACTCTAACGTACCACCTCCTAACTTACCAAATACCTCCTTAGATTTGCTGTGTAAGAAAAATACTACTGTTGAAAATTTTGTTAGAAATCTCGTCAACTAAAAGATATATAAACTAATATGTTCTCGACCCAAGATCGAATAGAGACTCTCAAAATCCTAATCACACTCACCTCAAGATCTTGTCTCGTGCTGTCCAGTAAATACGTATGTGTGTATTGTACACTTACCACGCTCTCTAGTAGTACACTACAATCCCACATACACGTACAATGTTCTAGCTCCACGTTCACACAGTATATCCAACACCTAAACAAATCCTAACCACCAAATTTCCCAAAAAACCCACAATCATCTTTGTATCTAGATGCCTAAGAAATGCCACAAATCATCTCCCACAGTCTGTGCCACTGTGTCCATATGTCCATAAATCCATAGAGAGATCAAAACATCGTCAATACATAGTGTCATGTATTGTGTTAAATGTCCCACCATTTACAACCTCACACGTAGATACACTATCAAGAAATACGTCTACCCCTATATTCTCACATAACCTATAACTCACCACTACAATACCGCACGTTATACTCCGAAATAATATCGTAGTGTAATATAATGACTTCCATGTATATATTAACACTCATTGAACACTGTTTACGCGTCATAATACTATCAAACTGTCACTCAACACACATATGCACAAGATACTCACATATTCGTATATAGTAATCATACATGCACGTCTACGTCATCCACTACACTGTACATGACCACTGAAAGACTACATATACTACATAAAGATACCCCACATAATATCACACCCCACCTCCCTCTTATCCATCAACCCCCAAAGAACATAACTCATCGTTAAATCTTAT